ACTGAGGATTGAAGCTTGATTGTCAGCAGTCCAGGACTACTGGCTTTCTATCAACTTCCATAAGGGGCAGGCTTCCGACTCTTTTGGCATCTTGTAGTCCCTTAGCACAGTGGGAGCCTTCATCCTAGCAGAAGTTATGGGAGTGACTGAGTGTGAAGGCTGATGGATCAAATTGTTCATTTCACTTGTGAGAGTTGATTTGACTTGACATTTGTCACAGCCAAGAAATGTGAAGCCCTATGAAAGCCCTCCTATGCATAGCTAATCTTCCAGTGCTTCTCTGCAGGATATGTGTGGATGGTTATGCCACAGTTTCTGTAGATGAGATGTACCCAGAATAAGAAGTCGCTCAGATACCATTCCAATAATCAATTAAAACTAATTGTCTTAAAGAGTGGTAGTTTCTGTGGTGCACTGGAAGCTAGCCTAAATGTATAACCTTTTAAAATGATTAGCTAGTACATTTTAATCAGAAATGGATGACTTTGTTAGCAGGTTACTGAGCTGATGGAAAGTGACTTCAGAATTGCTGAAATAAAAGTTGTAAAACCTGTTCAATAAACAAACTATTAAGAAATAAACTATTCAGGATAATAAAATTAGTCAGAAAAAAACAGAATTTTGAAACATTTTTCAGAAATGTTTTATTAGTGCAGTTTGAGCTTTTGATTTTTCTCCATTTCTTATGAGCAAAGGAAATAAAAAGCTGGATTCACAAGGGAATTGCTTTTTCCATGATAGCTATTTCCTGAAATTTTGAAGATGCCCATGTTCAGCGTACTGAGGGTTTTGGAACCACTCTTCGGCTCCTAGATGAGTATCCATTTACCAGCCTATTCTTGGGTGATCTGTTTTCACGCTTCTAGCGTGCTCCACAACAACCCAACTATTGTGAAGGCAGGATGAAAACAAAGTGAAAATGCCTTCAGACTCTAGTGCTTTGGACCCTCATTAAGGAAGGAAGATACTCAGATTCCCATCTCCGATCTAATAAGATTTCAGTGTGCCATGTGAAATGTAATTATTTTGACAGCAAAGAGTGGCTCTATCTCGCCTTTGAAATTGTCCATAGCACAGCAGGTTTCCTGTTCGTCTAAGAGAAATGAGCTCAAATCCTCTGAGGCAGAAGATAGTATATGGTAGAAAAACTTTTAAGTGTTTGTCAAACACTTATGCAAAGCTGCATTTTGAAGGAGAGTGACTTTTTTAAAGCTTGGCAAGGAAGACTGATGTATTTATACTGAGCGACCACTTTGCTCTGCCAACATTTTTACAAATAAGTTTTAAAACCCTTGTGTAGGCAGGACAAATTTTCTTCTGCAGAGTTCATGTCAACCAGTATATCATGATACAACTTACCCTTCCAGAAATGATGTTTCGAAATGTATTTGTCAAACCCTTGTAGCTAATGCCTCTGTTAATGCTAATCCATACCTTGTTTCTGTTGTCTGAACAGAATTAGAAGTTCTGTCATTTGATTCTTCTTAAATAGATGAGTTCTTGTTTCTTTCAAATCACAATTTTTATCCTTTTGTATAACTATAGCATGGTGAGATATAGAAACAATGAAACTTTTTATCCTGGTATGTTTATTCAAGAAAAAAAAAGGATTTTATGCTGCTCCAGTGTAGCCACCTGTTTCGGGAATCTAAAATAAATCTAAATAATCTTACAAAGGCAAATACTTAAATTTTGCTAAGTCATTAAGACAGTCTTTCTTTTTTCCCCTCTTCTTTCTAATTAAGTGTAAATCAGAAGTTTTTGCAACACTTTTTTTCTTTTAACTTTTAATGAACTGCAAAGAAATGAGCAATTCAACTTACTCAGTACAATTATATCTAAAGGGTAAAGACAAGAATAGTAATACAGCTAGGGAGCTATTTTGATATTCTGAGGAGGGAAGAAAATATGACAGGAATTCAAGAGATAAGCATCCTGCAGTTGGCATCACCTCCCTATTTCCATATTTGGTGGGATGTGAAACTGAAAACATGTATTGATTCAGCTCTTTTGTCAGCCACATACAAGTTGTATGTATGTGCGAGCGGGCAGAGCTGCAGTCTCTGCTGTGTAAAAATAAGTCTCGCTTGGCCTTTCCCATTGTGGTTAGGCTAGCATCGGGGTGGAAAGAGGGCAATGCTGTGAAAACAGGAGGTTCAGACTTAAAGCTGTTGGGATCAAACAGATATTACATTGGCATAGTCAAAATTGGTGTGAATTTGAACTAAAGCGGTGTGAGGAGGGAAGGAAATCTCCACTCAGAAGTTTTCTCATCAGAAAACATGATCAGTTTAAGTGCAATGTCTAAACAGAAAATGCCATTTTATAATGAATAAAGTATGAGATGAAATCATTACAATTATTGTTACTTGTTGAAGGATTTCAGCTATTAATTAGAAACAGTGAAGAGAGTCACAGGGATTTAGTACTTGGACTGTTGTCACCAGTTACTTGTTTACAGGGTTTTCAGGCATTTGAAAGACATTATGTTTTGGGTAGGAGGAGTGACTGTATTCCCTGTGAATGAGATTTTCAACATGAACAGAATTAAGTAAAGAGTCTGTGTTTTGTTAAAGCTCTACCTTATATAGGTGCTTAACAGTATGGATTGGAGCTACTAGATTGAGACCTATGCAATTAGCCTGAACTACTAGGCAGCTTTAGTTCAACTGTACATATTTACTGAAAAAAACTTTGCTGTCTCTCTCAAGGCTTCCAAACATTCTCAAGCTTCAGGTATATAATGAGGCAAAAAGCATGCTTCGTTTGATGGTGAGCTTTCTTGTGAAAGTTTGCCGTAGTCCTGTCATTTCATCCACACCATTTCTGATTATTCGGAAAAACAAACTGGCGATGTAACACTTCTCTATTTCTGTTTCTCGTTTTCAGATAGCCTCATTTTTAAAACAACAAAACAAATTTGAAACAGGCAAATAATGTACAGGTTTAGTCAGTGTAATTACATATTCCTTTTCCTGCTTTATCTGTGTTTAGTGTTCATGTATCATGCTCTGTCTTAAGCTCTGGGCAGGAACTGTCATGTTGATGTTTTATGTGCATCTTTCATAAAAGGGCACTGAAACTCAGCAAGCAGACTATGAGCTTATATTGTGGGAAAGAGAACTACATGTTGGCTTTACAAACTCACTTCTGTAAGAGAGATGAGCGTCCAAGAACTGACTCTGCCTTTGTATTTTTTTTGGTGATATCTGTAGTCTCCAGAAATGGTGCATGTCCAAATATGGCAGTCGTCTCCCTCACAGACTGTTAATCTGGCTGTTTGTATTGTTCCTGTATGTGTTCCAAGCAATAGTCCTCAAAATGCCAAGGAAGTAGCTGGTCGGGGGAAAATAGAGCAAAATGCAGAAGTCTGTAGCTAAGACCTCACAGATGTGTTAGAAACTGAACTGCAGAGCACAATTTCTTCCATCTGCGGCAGGAACTTTTAGAAGACTTTTCAGCTGCGTCACTCACAGGGCTTAGTACTTCTGAGGTTTTGAACGGCATTCATCAAAGATAGAGATCTGGTTTGGGAGACCCCTTAATTAGCAGTACTTTTTTAGGACTTTGTGCTACTATGACAGTAAATGAATCATTCTTTTAGGCAAATATTTAATCTGCATGTAGCACTGTCGTATGTGCAATGTTAAAGGGACATAATCTTTTTATAGTTTTATACTGATTTGCAAGCATGATTCACTAAACATTATCAGTTGCAGACAGTCTGGGAGAATGAAACAGAACGGAAATGCTTGTCAAAAAATGAAGCAATTTATAGTGCTTCTAAAATGAGCTTCTGCTTCTGGGCTAACTGGTGTTTTGTGGGAGGAGTGAGATAAAATGAATTCTATCAAATATTATATAACAGGCTGGTCTGAAGTGCAAGGAAGCTATGAGTATTTGAAAGCTGCTAACCTGTCATGCAGAGTGTATGAGGTCTCACAGTGCTTCTGGCAAAAATCTTTGGATTAGTCTATAACTGACTCCTATACAAGGGATGAAGAGCCTTCCTTTTCGTTCCCCACACCTACACTGAACTTCCTGCACAGTACCATTTCTTTTTTTGTTTTTGCACTTGGAGGACATGAGTGATTATTCCAAGCTCCATGCAGTTCCTGATGAAGACGTCATTTCAAAGAGGATGGGTAGAAAATAGGATGAAACTATTTATCTCTGTTTCTCTCATTACCTCTTGCCATATATGGTTAGAAATCATGAACCGGATTCTTGTTATCATGAGACTGGCTTAAAATAATAACAGTTTATGAAGTAAGCATTAATTGGCACACTTTCTGCTCATTTACCTTGCAGAGATTCTCTTTGTGCCTTTATGGTGAAATTTCCCGCTTATGACTTACTTGTGTAAGGTTCAAAAGTCATTCCTAAATGAGTATCAGAAATGCAGATCTCCTTGATCACCGAGAGAGATTCGACTAAATTTCTAACACTTTCTGAGGAACAAAGACCCATTATTATTCTATATCCCATTCTGTCTAGATCCCTTACCCTTCTGTTTGATCCTCAGTATCACTTTTCCCTCTATTTTTCCACTTGTTCTCATACGTAATCCATACTTACCTTCTGCCCATTTCACCTTCCCCTGTTTAGTCCTCCAAAATGTGATTCATCTCAGATCAAGGCAAACATCACGAACAGGCGAGATGAATCCCACCCAATAAATGCCTTTTTCTTGCCATTGAATATAGGGAGACTGTGGTATCTAGTATAGATGTTTATATCTATACTTGGTCAGGTGAACCTAAACCCTGATTCCTGTACCTACTGTAACCATCTCTCAGTTTCCCACCTCGTTTCTTACACGTTCCTTTGATCTCCTTAAATTGACCCTTGACCTGAAAGCTTTTTCTAGTCTGGCCTTCCCGTCCTCCCAGAGGACTAAGAGGAAAACAAATCGTGTTTCCTCCTAGCATATGTAGGATGTTATCAGTTGTATCATCACATCCCTCAGACTCAGAAATATATTTTGGTAACTCCCGACAATGGAAGCCAGTAGTGGCTGTTGTTGTTGGCGAACCTTCCATCCACTTGCAAAGGTTACGGTCAGTAACAGCAGGAGATGCTGCTACTGTGAAATAACGGCATACTTTTGTAGAGCAGGTGACCTACACTGGTATAGCAGGCTGCAGTACTTGGCCGGTAGGACCTTATGCAGCTGCATTCCGTCTGACCTGCTCAGGAGGAGCTGCGCTCCCTGAAGTTCAGTACATCCTTACCTTCCTTGCATTAGATTAGACTAATCTGATATTTAAGAAACAGGAAAAATTGAGTATAATGGCATCATTTTTAGGAGCACAAACAGACTCAAAAGCAGAAGTCCATTCTTCTGACCATTCTAAATTTAAGAACAAAACCCAATTAAAAATCAACAACAACATACCTTTTTTTAAAACCGTGCATGTTAAACAACAGGCCAAAGGAAATATACCAGGATTAACTTGAAAACAGATGTTTATAATGATTCAGTGACGTATTTTAATTACATTCCCAGATGCAATTAAAACAGACTTTTTCTGAATTTAAGGGATGTGTTGATAAAACTGATAACATTCTACATGATGTTGGAGGAGGAAGTATGATCTGTAAGCATGCTTCTTCCAGCTGTGATCTCATCAGGTCTGAAAGCCTAAGAAAGGTCACACTGGGTCAGTTCTTGAAATGGGCGGTCCAGTGTTTTTCTAGGCAAAATCATGTACTGCAAGAAGTAATGCTGATAGTTCAGGGGGTGGCACTTTTCCCCTTTTGTCAGTGTTGAACTGGAGTTGTCGCATGTGTTGGTATTGTTTTTGGATTTAATTCTCTTTCTATAGTATAGGATGTACACTTGTTCAATTGAGTGTTGCTTTTCATTTTTATTTGCTTTTACAATATATTGCTATGGTATGCTGCTGCAATCATGTAAGATAAATAATTTTGCTCTATATTAATACGGAAAAAGTTTTAACTTTCAACGATTCAGTGGATCTACATATGAAAGAGCAACTTCTCAACAAGAGTAACAAATACTTCAGGAGGTGGTATTTTAGTTTTATTTGACAGCCTTTGATAATTTCATTTTCAGCAACCCAACTTATCTTTGATGCTTCACTTGAAAAGAAAATCTATTTATTTATGTTTAATCTCAAAACAGATTAGAAGCATTTCTTTTTATTTCCCAAAAGCAGTGAGGTCTCTGTTGACTGTGGAATCAGTAGGTGTGAAGGGCTGGGCTCTGGGCAGCCTTGCTGAGAACTCACTTTGGGGTGGTGCTTTCCCTGACTGCTGATGAGACTGCTTCTGGGATAACTACTTCATGAGGCTACTGAAGGATCTCATGTGCTTCAGTGGACGTTCAGTGATATGAATTTTTCACTTGTTCTACCCAGTTTGTTTCTGTGGAGCATAACAACTATTAAAGTGATAAAGACTGCTGACTTACTCCCCAGTTGCTTCATGACTATGAGGAGTTAAAAGGGGGAATAGGCTAGATGGGCCTGAGTGCGCTGAAACACTTTGGTAACGCAAAGCAACTGTGAGCCATATATTATCACCTTTCTTGTTTTGCAAAAAATTAGTGATTCTTTATGATCAGCATAGAAATCTTGATCGTGTGGTTACTGTTGCCTCGATACAAAGTAAACCTCAAAATCTCTCGAGTCTGCGTCTTAGGGATTACGTGAACAAAGGCATGAAAGTTTTCAGTGGCACTTATTCCTGTTAAGCTCCCTTCCTCAAGCAACTAACCCCTTCCGGGGGAAACAACACATGAAATGAGTATTTCATGTGAGGAAGTCGGCTATCAGGACTAGATAGGTCAACTTCACAGTGCACCATCCTTCCGTCCCGAGATGAAAACACCCCTCTCCCAAATCCTCCTGTCTGTCTGACCTCCAGAATTTCATGTTGCAGAATCTGAATAGACTTGGGAGTCTCTCAAAATTTCTCCTGAAGTACTGACACTTTCTGGAGGTATAACTTGGCTGTATGCTGACTTTAGTTCATCTCACGTAGAAACCATGTGACATGCATCTATCCTAGGAAAAGTCTGTTTAAAACCGAGAATCGATATAGTAGAAAATAGTTCAGATTGCTTATATTTTAGTCATGTTTTCAATGCGTTCTCTTGCTGTAAGAATACGCTTTTACCCCGAATGGAAGCAGTCTCATCATAATGATAACTACAGTTAGACATTATAAAAGACAAGAAAGAGAGAAAAAGGTTACTTGAAATGTAGCAGATGTGGAAAACGGCTAGCAGGACCATTGTCTGGCTGTAAGCATTAACAATTGCCTCCATTTCTAATACTTTAAATCAGGAACAGTTTGCTCTGTTGGAGGCTGTGGTTTGACTTGATTTCATAAAGTATATCCAGATGTCCTGATCATATATACAGTTTACTGTGATAATGATAACAATATTTTAATTTCCTTCTAAAACTGTTGTCCTGCTATCTGAAGATTGTTAATAGCGTTAGTAAGTCAATATTAGGAAGTCTTACGGTAAACACCTAAAGGGCATAGACAAAATTCTGTGACCTGAAGAATACGTGACTTGATTCTTTTACCGTCTATTATTTTTCTCCATAACTGTGGAAGATAAATCATAAACTACAGTTTCACCATCCCGATCTCCTCAAAACAATGGAACATATATATACAGATTAAGTATTTGTGCAGAATGCAAGCCATTTGTTTACACACTGGTGTTAAAGAGATGACTTTTAAAATTCTGTTAGTCTTTGAATGTATAAATATAGAATCCTTAGAGGAGAGTCCACCTGTTGTGTTAAATTGAGACATTCATGTTGCTAGATGCAGAGTATACGTATGTCCTGTAAAAATGAGTTATTTTAAAATGATGGACCAAGATATAATGATTTAAAAATAACAGCATTTTTTTCCTGGTTGAAAATAGCTATATTTTTTATTTTACAAAGGCATTTTTTATTATAGTGTGACTGAGAGTGGAAGTGTACATTTATATAAAGATAATAATAAGTCATTACATTGGGCTTAAGTGAACTATTTAACATTGCCCATGGTTACTGCCTTTGTAGTCTGTGTGGTACTACTGCATGGTATTTTTGGTATGATCTGGCACCCAGTTCACACAATTAATCCTTAATTTCTCTTTTATTTTCAGGGTTGTTCTGGCTGTGGAAAATGTGACTGCAGTGGAGTGAAAGGGCAAAAAGTGAGTACGTCAGCTCTCTCCACCTAATTTTCTCACTTAAATAAGTGACATGGTGTCTTGGCTTTCCCTGCAGTGCCTGTTCCATCCCTGCACCCTCCTCTGCTCCTCCAGCTCTTCTCCTGTTCAGTTGTGTTTTGCCCATCCCCAAACTGGGGTCTCAGCCTGGTACCCTGAGCTCCTCCAGCCCTTTGCCTCTGCTAGTTCCCTAGGGCAGACAGGTAGCACCCGCTCCACGTGGAGAAGCAGCCTCAGCCCGTCTCCCACCTGAGGTTTGTTCTGTCTCATCAGCCTTATTTCTTACACCTCGCCTCCAGTGTGTGCAGTAGGAAGTACAAATCCTGACACGATGTCCTGCGTAATGAAATCTGCTGCTGCTGAGAGAGTACACCTCTGGAAGTGATGTGAATGTATTTGTTTAGAAATGCTCTCTACAGTACAGATTGCTCTCCAGGAAGGCTGTGTTGCATCAAAAGTAACCTACTCTGACCAAGGTTAACCCCAGGAGGCGATGCCTCACAGTAGGAAAAAGCAAATTAATAATAAACTTAAATACAGCCAAGTGTTTCAGGTTAGTTTAACAGAGAGAAATGTTAAAATTCATGCTGAACCCACCCAAAATATTTATTTTCAGTGCTTCCCGTTGGTAACTGAAAGAGAAAACAGAGTTGAAATTCTCATTTTAAATTTTTTTACAGAACGTTGCAGATCAATTTTAGGGTTCCCGTTCAGCTACCCAAACTATTTCTGTGTACAAAACAAGAAAGCTATATTAAAGGCTTCTTTTGGAGCGTTAACAGTGAACAAAACATAGAGCTTGCTTAAACATTCCATGAATTCCCCTTGCAAATTACCTGCATTTGTAAATATTGTAGACATTCACTCACTCCCCTTATCTCTTTCAGTTCTATTGCAGAGATTGTGATCTACCTTGTGTTCAGTTGTGCATGCACATACACTCTGCCTCTACCAGTGTAAATGAGTGTAAACCAAGGGTTTTATCACCTTGTGATTGCAGTGGGAACATTTTTCAAAGCAAGCTGTTTAGGTCACCCAGAGAAGTGCTTAGAGGAGTTTTTATTGTTTTGATAAATATACAGCTTGTGTTCTACATTATGTCTCACATGTGATAGCTACATATCTATGGATGAGGTTTTTAAAAGCGTCTGTTGGTGGCTTTTCTTTGGTGTTTTCTAGAAGGAGGAATGTAAATGGCTTAGTTGGAGATCGAAGCAAAGATCATTTTATTTGTAACAACATAGATTAATTTGTGACAAAGAAGAAGAGTATCAAGCTTTGAAACATCTTTTAAGGTGGAGTCTCCTTTCTCAATGACCAAGTAATAGCTGTTTAATAAAAGTCAGCTATCCATTAGAACCTGACAAAGCAAAGATTTGTGAACGTCTTGGAAATTTGAATTTATTCCTTGACATGTGGATCTTATTTTTCAGTTGCAAGTACAAATAAATTATTGCAGAGTGAGATAGATATTAAGGTATAACTCTGTTGCTCAAAGCTATTAGTTTTCGGTTGGTATAGTATGCCAGCATCTTGTAACTAGATCATTTTAAAAAATGATGCAGTTTTGGGAAAGAGCGTGTCAACAATTATGCTTCATTTACTGCAGACTGTGATCCTGACTCTCTGTGCTGCAGGTAGAAGACTGATTTTCTTGCTGGCATATTTAACTTGCATCATCCAGAGTCTCAGGAAATTCTCTTTATAAAAAAAATATGTGCTTGTCTATTATGATGGAAGCTAAAACTACCTGAAATTAATGTAAGTTAATACAAAATGTAGAAGAGAGAATATTATCAATCCTTAGCAATAGAATTCATACTAAGTTCCAGATCTCATACACTTATTGGACAAGTTTGTTGTGCAGCACAGCTCGCAAACTTCTCTGTTCTTAAATACGTAAATAGTGA